AACACATCCTCTGACCTGTAGGGTTTACTACATACTAGAATCAACACTGTTGCTATTCAGTTGTAGATTCTGAGAATGACCAAGCAGAATAATCTATGAAGCTTATATCATGTACAAATATCCAGGAAACTTATATAATCGATCTAAGTTCATGCACCAACCTGTTTGGTCTATTTTTAATCCAAAGATTAATGTTTAATTTAAGACAATTAAATTTAATAGCAAAAGTTTATTTTTGAATTAGAAGTTAGGAATCTTTGCTTTTTCAATAACCAGAAATAATTATACCTTTCTGTGTTTCATTTCAAAGAATGAGGCAAGTTTAACAATGAAGAATTTATTTCCAACAATTTTTAAACTTTACGATTTGAACGACAATTATAAACGACAATTCATGGATGACAATTTAATGACAATTTTTAACAGCTTTCATATTAAACTTGTTTAAAAAGGCAAACCTGTGGCTGGATGAAAGCTAAATGAAAATACGAGTTTGGATGCGTGAATGGATTTCTCAGAAGGTTTCTTTCAGAGGGAGGAACATGTTCTGGGTTGAAAATGATGGTTTTTGCAGCTAACTGTTGTTTACTTAGAGAAAACAGCATCAAACGCATTCTGTGTGCTACCTCACCCAACAGGAGACCCTCTTTGTGGATCCGGAGATCAAGGAGGATGTTGTCCACCTCAGGGTACTCGGTCTGGTAGAGAAGACGCGAGTGAACCGATTCTCTGGTCCAGAGATGCCGCCGGGTACACAGTGTTGAGCGTTTGGCTTAACTCTGAAGGAGTTTCTCATCTTAACTTAACTCAAAAATCAATAACTCTGTAAGGAGTTTTTGCGTCAGCTGGCTACAGTTACGCTTATTCAAAGCTTATTCTATCAGCGTGACAGAACAGCAGGTGAAGGTTAGGGACGGCCGTTCCCTGATCCTCCAGTGATGGTGGTGGGTTCACGAACTGACTGAAAGCTGCCGCAAGTTAGTTTACAAAGTCCTCAGAACACACCCACTCTCAGCAAGAAAGCTTTGGTCATGCGTCAAAAACATGTGATGGCAGTTACCCTTTACTCTGGATAAACTCTGTGTTAGATGGATAAGGTTGAAGTTGACCTTCTTATTTGCTGAACACACATTACTAACCATAATCATAGTAATCATTATTATACCCAAAGCATAATAAATCATTTCAGTAATTAAAATACATTTATACTGAACCAAGTGATTATTTATGATGATTATAATAAACAGTAATAAAGTCAAAGAATTTATTAATATTATTATTTAATTATCATCGTGAACTTGAAGTGTCCTTCTTCTGGGACGGAACAGCAGCAGATAACGATGATTCTTTAGCAGACAGCAGGGCTCCTTGGTTAATCTGTGGATTTAAAAGTTACTGTCTGACCCAGCTTGACCCAGTTGGGTAAATGTGACCTTTGCCACAAATTAGAGAACCTTCATCATGCTACAGACCCGATCCTCTTGTGCACAATGTAGACGACCTCCAGTGGTTTGATGGGTTGTGATCGTCTGCCCACTGATGCCTGGCGAATTGCCCACTCTGCTGCTCTGATGACCCTCACAGTACCTTCAGATGGGACCACAAGACCCCCGTTGTTCTGCAGAGTCAGCAAATGGTAGCTCTGGTCATCACAGGCAGATGCAGCATCCATCACCAGGCTGGCACGGCAGAGATCACAGGACAGATTGGTCATGGCTCGCCGCACAACAAATCCTGAAATTACAAATACCAATGTAACTGGACAGTGTGGTTGCCTTTATACTTTACATAGGCCTATAGAGCAACATGGTGTCAGGTGAGAAATCAGACAAGAACTATAGTTTGACTACCTAAAGGCAAACAAGTAATCATGATTAGTAAGTGTGGCATTTATTCGTTGTATTTATTTATCAGGGGGATTTGATGAGCCAGCAGTTTTTCTAAAGACTACAAACATTTTTTGTGTTTTTCTTCTGACCGCATTTTTAGGTTCTTTTTGAAACACAGGGAAGGTTTTTTACCTTGCTGACACTTTTGATCGTGACACCACTGTCAGCTCTGAGGAAGATCACAGAAACTTCTTAGGGCAACTTCCCACTGCCTCCTTCTTTCTCCATCTTTGGGAACTCTTAAACAAGTGACAAAACGTAGGCAGCTTTATAAATCATTGTAGTTTACAGCCTTTTCCTTTAACATGAGCATAAGACAAACAACAGTTAAACAAAAGGTGTCAAGACAGAAACATGCAATGATTGGTTAACCAAGAAATCTTGAATTCAAGCAATGAAACTTTTTAAAATCACAGTTAGCTTATAGATCTTAAACTTTACCATCACTGCTATTTCTAAAAAGCAGTTAAAAGCAAAACAGATGACAGAGACTTATCAGCCTAGCACAGTTGGATGTTTGTTATTGTTAAATCTTACGAGTGAAAGGTGATCCCACGTTGTCGTGATTGAAGACATCGTCTATTAGAGCAGTGGTTCCTAACCTGGGGGTCCCGACCCCGACAAGAGGGCGCCAAAGCCTCTCAGTGGGTCGCCAGGACCTCTCCACTTTAAGGGGTTAAAACTTCATTTATTACTTGTTTATAGCCTACATTTTGCTTACATTTTCTTTTCATGAGTGAAAAGTTTACTGATATTAAGACAGGAAATAATTAGTACAGAAAGAGTAACACACTTTTAAGAACATTTTGCTCAGCTCACTCTTTTATTTTCAAGTGTCAAAAGTTCATTAAAGATAGGACTGGTTGATTAATCACAGCCTTTACAGTAAATAATCTAGTATAAACAGTAATATACACATTTAAGTTCATTTTGCTCAGTGTATTTTTATGTGTCAAACATTTATTGAAAGGAATGATTGATTTATCAGTGTTTACAAGAAACAATGTGTTCAGAAAAGTAATACAAACTGTCAAGCACACTATGCTCTGTTTGGTTTTGTTGATGACTTTGTTCTGTACTGGAGCCTACTATTACTGTTATCTATTGAATCAAAGCATATTAAAATGTGCTTGAACAATTTTATCATTTCTTAATACCGTTTGTACTGGAAGAGAGAATGGGAGGGGGTCGTCAAAATTTTACTGGTAAAAAACAGGGTCCCTTGGGAAAAAGGTTGGGAACCACTGTATTAGAGCATCCATAGGCAGCACAAAAGTCAGGCATGCTTGTTGTGTTTCACGTGTGTTTCTGTAAAATCAAAGCCAGCAATTTCCACTATTTTAATAAACTTCAGTCTAAGTTTTGTACATTTTTTTAACAAAGTAAGCCGCCTGGAAAACAAGGGCAATTTTACACTCAGCTTCCACTGAGGTATAACATTGAAGGTAAGCGGCGCAGCGACAGCAGCCTCGTCTTCTCTAAGCCAAGTTACAGAGCTAATAAACACTAAAACATCCACCAAGACACCGATCCAGCGGTGCAACGACCTGTGGCTGCCCGCACTGTTTGGCTTAAGAGCCACCGCTCCACCAAGATCAGCTGAGCGTCTAACGTCGGCGGCGGCACACCGGCCCCTCTGCTGCTCCATCTCGCCATCCTGCCACGACCAATTCTATCTCAGGAGCCGGTGGTGTGCCCAGAGGGCTGCATCACTGCTGTTTCGTTCACATTGATTTGTTTTAATGAATTGTTGGGCGTCGGACGCCTGGTTGCTGGGGCAACCACCAGAAAGCCCACAGGCTTGAAAGGAAGTATCCTATTTTGTTTGCTATGTTTTTCATTATTATTATTATTATTATTATTATTATTATTGTTATTATTTTGTGTGTTTTGTGTGTTTAATTTGTGTAGGTTTAACTTAATTTAGTATTTGTTGGCCCTAGGCCAAAGTGGTTACTTCTGGTTGACTAACTGGTGATGACGGACTCCGAGCACTTAACTCCCTCCGTATGTTTTTAGCTGAGATATTTTAATAAAGATTTGTTTTACTGGAAAGACACCATCTGTTCCCATCGTGATTTTTTAACCTACGGGCCTTTATTCTACCCTTTCTTTTTTTTTTTGGGGGGGGGGGGGGGGGGGGGTAACCCAGGGTGGCGTTGTTGTTGCAATCCTTTCTCCTTAATTTATTTATATCGCTAACACACTTGCCACAATAAAACTAAAGTGTATTTAAACTCATGTATGATTTTTGGCAGACCATCACTCCTCCTTTTTCCACCTTCGTCGGCTGGCAAAGATCAAACCATTTCTGTCACGTCATGATCTTGAGACAGTGGTCCATGCTTTTATTACGGTGCGATTGGACTACTGCAACTCTGTTCTATTCGGTGTGAGCAAGGGCTCAATAGCCAGGTTGCAAATGGTCCAGAATGCTGCTGCCAGATTTTTAGAGGGCAGGCGCAAGTTTGACCACATAACTCCTGTCCTGGCTGCGCTTCACTGGCTGCCCATTGATGTTAGGATTCATTTTAAAATACTTTTACTAGTTTTTAAAACGTTAAATGGTTTAGCCCCTCCTTACTTGGTGTCACTACTTCAACCATACACCCCTTCACGGTCACTCCGCTCGGAGAACTTCATGCTCCTCTCGGTCCCAAGAACGCGCCTAAAGACGCGTGGTGATAGGGCATTTGCTGTGGCAGGTCCTAAGCTTTGGAATAAGATTCCTCTCAGCATAAGGGCCTCCACCTCTGTTGCGGTTTTTAAGGCAGGGCTAAAAACATATTTTTATGACCTGTCTTTTAACCTTTCTAACTAGTTTTATTGTTTTACTTATAGCGATTTTACTCACTGTAGTTTTATCTGTACCGTGTGATACAATGTTTTATTTTCTGGACTTACTGTTTTATGTTTTTATTTGATCAGTGTAGCACCTTGGTGGCATCTTTTTGCCTGTAAGGCGCGGTTTATAAATAAAGTTGAGTTGAGTTGAGTAGCCAGGCGTATCAACCATGTGTATATAAAGATATGTGTTTATACTGTGTGTATCAGGTGTCAACTGCCTTGACACAAACACACTACATTTCCCATGATGCCTTTGGCGCTTCGTGATGAGAGGCCACGCCACGTGCCATGCTGACGTAGCAACAACAATGGCGGCGCTCGGCACGGTGCGCCGCTTCTTTGGAAGCTATTCACGGCTGAAAAATGTGCAACCAAGCAAGCAAACTCCGAGATGTAGCGTGAGGCTGTTCTGCGGGGAAACACAACAGACGCGTATGTTTCTGTTCCCAAGTGTTGTTTGTGTTTATTTGTACACACCGCTGACCTTGTAGCTGATACCTAGCTTCACTAGTTTCGGGATGCGATGATGGGTTAAAGGATTTTTCAGCCTGGGAAGATTGTTTAAGAGGATTTGGAGGTTTTACAGCGATGTGTTCCTGTTTTAATCCGTCATATACAATCTGTGAGTGACACGTTAGGGCCAAACTAAAGAAACGCGACGAAGACCTCACAGTGAATTTAAAGTTGAGATGGTTTTGGAAGTTGTTTCTAGTGATCTATAACCCATTCACTTGTTTGTAGTAAAAGAATCATGAATCAACATTCATCGGTGTGATTATATAGTGTGAAATCTTTGCCACCTCCACAGATTTGGAAAGGCCCCGATTCTCAGATCCAGCTGTGCAGGACATCCTCACCAGGATAACAGGGTTGGACCTGCAGAAAGTGTTCCGACCCATAAAACAGGAGCTGAAACCGCCTACGTATAAACTCATGACTAGTGAACAGCTGGAGCAGGTTCCTGGCACTACTTAACTTTCGTTGGCACACAGACGCGTCTCGTCTTTAACCCAGTCTTCATGTGTTTCTAGGCAGTACATCTGGCCTCAGAGGAAGCTAAGAAGCGGCTTAATACCCCCCCTGTCCTTCCAGAGAGGAAACCCATCAACGATGTGCTGGTTGTGGATCAGATCCTGGATGGCATGGACACAGCCAAACTTGTCTTCACGGACATCACTTACAGCATCCCACACCGGGTACATGCCTGACCTAGGGCAGGTGTTTAGCTTGAACGAGTTGTGCAAGTTAAAACAGAATGGAGTTATAGTAAATGTTGGTTTTGTGTGTTTCTCAGCCTCACAGTTCATTGTAAACATTCTTTTTAAGGTAACTAAACTCACTAATTGTGAATCACCCTTCTGTTTGAATCACCAAAGGAGAGGTTTATAGTTGTACGGGAGCCTGATGGTACTCTCAGGAAGGCCACCTGGGAGGAGAGAGACCGGATGATTCAAGTCTATTTCCCCAAGGAGGGACGCCTGATCTCACCGCATCTCATCTTCAAGGAGGAGAACCTCAAGGTGAGAGGTGACAGGATTATCAGCAGTGTGAATGTAATGAGATGGAGACAGATGTGGTTAACACACAACCGCACTGACTGTGCGTGAGGTGCAAGGAACACAAACAAGCAAGAGGGTGTTTGTTTGAAGGGTGGGTGCCACACTCTTATAACCACATTAAGTGAGTTCACTGTACTCAAATGCTCTCCACAGTCACCAGATCTCCTTCTAATAGAGCACCTTTGGTGTGGTGGAACAGAGACTCGTTGGATGTGCAGTTGACAAATCTGCAGCAATTGCTTGATGCTATCACGTCACTATGGACTCAAATCTCTAAAAGAATATTTTCAGAAACTTTTGAACAATTAAGGCCATTCTGAAGGCAAAAGGGGGTTCAAGTCGGGACTAGCAAGGTATACCCATAAAAGTGGCCAGTGTGTGTATATATATATATATATATATATATATATATATATATATATATGTGTTACTATCCAGGCTGTCTAGGGGGCCTGGGGTAACAATGAGGACACATGTTCTCGTGTTAAAAGTAACAAAACAACATTTATTTACATAAATAAACTCAAAACACAGATTAACAAGACACATCAGCAGCAACGCAAAACGAGTAACAACTAAACTCTCATATTAACCAAATTAATACAAAAACCACGAAAGAAAAATCACATTTTTCCTAATTTCCGAGTGATGTCTTAATTAAAACAAGCGAAGGGGTAAAATGTCCTTTACCCCTAAAAGGGAGAACGGCTAAACACAGAGAGTTTTAAGCTCCCACCAAAGTTGTTACATCAAACTTAACAAAACCAAAAGCTGCTGCGGAGCCAACAGACCAGAGAGAACCTCCCTGGCCTGCTGCTCCCTGAACTGAGGGCTGGCTGACTTTTATGCTGCTGGTCATCAGGATCAGCTGGGAGGATCTAACTGGGAGGCAATCTAGTGAGATTGGAGTCAGGTGCTGCATCTCCTCTCTCTCTCACACACACACACACACACACACATGGAAAAACCCAAATGGCTCTGAGCCATAACAATATGTATATATATTAGATATTCTGCTGGGGGACAGAATATCTGTCACCTGTATTACATTAAGTCACATAAAGGGCCATGAATGTTGCCAACCTACACATCTGTTCATTTTTTTATTATCAATTTTATGAACGTGTGAAAAATGATCTTGGTAAGAGTCAGACATTTTGATAATGATACTTTTTTGATTTATTGCCCAGCCCTAATTTATATACTGCCACCTCTTAAGCATTGAGCGTGAGACACGCACATCTGACTGCTTCCACATGCTCACACACCACACACACCTAATTTCTCTCAGTGAAAGAGCAAGTGGAGGGCTGTGGACCCCCCCCCCCCAAAAAAGGAAAAAAAGTGCTGTCACATGTGCTCACTGTGAAACTGCTTTCATCTGTGAAGAGCATAGGGCACCAGTGGTGATTTTGCCAATCTTTGTGTTCTCTGGCTAATGCCAAACATCCTGCACGGCGTTGGACCGTCAGCACAGCCCCCATCAGTGGACGTCAGGCCCTCATTCATTTTCCATCGTCATTCTTGTAAAGCGCCTTGTGAATTTTATCTTGAGAGGATCTATATAAAAGATTGCTGTTGCCTCCTCCTCCTCATACCACCCTCATGGAGTCTGTTTTTCATCGTTTGAGCAGACACATGCACATTTGTGGCTCGCTGAAGGTCATTTTGCAGGGCTCTGGGAGTGCTTCTGTTCCTTCTTGCACAAAGGTGGAGGTAGTGGTTCTGCTGCTGGGTTGTTGCCCTCCAACAGCCTCCTCCACATCTCCTGATGTACTGACCTGTCTCTTGGTAGCGCCTCCATCTTCTGGACACTATGCTGATAGACAAAGCAAACCTTCTTCCATCAGCTTGCATTAAGGTGCCGTCCTGGCTTAGCTGCACTACCTGAGCCACTTGTGTGGGTTGTAGACTCTGGGTGTGTGAATCCATGGGCAGGATGCTTACGAGTACGGGTCCTCGCCGGTCTAGCAAGGCCGGGTCCTTGCCAGACCGCTAAGACCAGAACCCAGCGGCTCTGAATTCGGACAGTCTAGCCTTCACCTCTACGGCGGCCCGGAGGCCCCGTCACAGCCGCGGCGGCAGCTACACGCAAAGGAAAAATGCTAAAGCTAGCGAAAATGGAGCAGGAATATTTAGGAGCTAGAGCAGCTTCACGTCCATCAGCAGCGTTTGTTCACAACCGTTTTCAGGTAAAGTAACTTTGTTTATTCTAGAAGCTTTCAGGACTTACATGTTAACTTTAGATGGTTTCATGTTTGTTTTAAGCTACAGAATGAACTTGTTAAACGTACACAACACATTTCTACAGAGTATTATCATGTAGGTAATTAATATAAACCAAATGCATTATAAATGTTGAATGCAGTAGGATGTTTTCTGATGTAAATTGGACCTTAGAACTTATTTTACATCAAATGGGGGTAAAATGCTTTTAAAAACAGGCTTTTTAATTAAATAGCATTGAAGTGTTTTGAATGTGCATTTGTTTATTCAACTTAAGCCTAATAATGATTAGACCTGTCTTAAAAATGTAATTATCTGTAGTTTTCCCTGCTGCTTTTCTTTAAACTGAACAGAACCAGTGTTCTGCAGGTTATATGTTTATTTTACATTTTTCTATAAAAAACTCTTATTTAATCTATTACAGGTCAGCATGCACTGTGCTGCACATCTGCCTCTGTGCTGGTGAAGTTGTGGGTCTGGAGGATGAGCGTGAGGAAGATGTGTGTGGAGGAGGTCAGTGGTGCTCTGTCCTGCAGGAGGTCCCAGCAGACCACCACTGCTGTTAACAGGCAAGTCATTCACAGAGACGTAACAGCCGTCGTCTGAGCCAGCCCAGCGGGCCCTGTAGATGGACGATGGAGTGGACAGTGAGAGGAAGCGTCCCAAAGCTCTCTCTGCAGACCGTCCTGTATGATGTTCCTCTGGCCAGAAACGTCCAGCCACGGGTCTGCTCCAGCCTCCATCCACGTCTGGATCCTCCTGCAGTAGATCCAGCTGCACTGTTAAAGACTTCCTGCTCACTCAGTTTAAATAAAGGATCCAGGAAGAGTCACTCAGGTTAATCCTGCTTTAACCGTACATAACTGGTCCATACTGGTTCTGATCTGTAAATAAGTGTAACCTATTGTAAATAATCTTGTCTCCTTACCATCTTTTCATTTTCTGTTCATGTAACATGTTCAAAAACATCTGTAATAATAAAACTGGTGATAAAACCAATGACCAGAAAGAGTTATCAGTTAGTATTTGTTTTAATAAACGTGTTCAAATATCAAACAGCTAAATAACATTAACATGATGACAGTAGAAGGCCTCTCTCCCAGGAGGACCACCAGGTAAAGCCTCTCCTGACCCTGGACACCTGCAGTCCTACAGAGAAAATCAGACCACAGGTGACAAAAAGGCAATAAACACATTTTTACATTTATCCACACGAGAAGATAAAACTTTTATTCTTCACACAAACTAATTTTTACTTCATTAAAACGTGTCAGCTGTGTAAATCCCTGCATGTAAAACTACTTTTCACATAAGAACTTCTGTAGTTGTGTGTAAACAGCTTCACTCTTCACCTCTTTGCTCCATTGTCCTTAAAACAAATGACTAGTTTAATTCGCCACACACACACACACGGGGGAATAACTGGGGCCTGCAAAATAAACCCGTACTGGCTGATTTCTGCCTAAAATATAATTAAAAAGCAAATACAAACGAAAAATGTCTACAAACTGAACCGCTTTAAGCTTTTCAGGTTTCTACGGCTAATTTTTAACAAACTTACATTTAAAACTTCGTAGCTCTCCCCATTTTCTCTTCCTGTTGAAAATCCAGAGCCGGCACGCAAAGCATGCTGGGATAGCCTTGTTCTGTGAGGATACAACAGACCCGTCCTCGAAGTGTGGGCGGAGCGAGGACGTGTTTGAGGACGTGAGAATGAGTATGCTTGGAATTCGGACAGTACTCGTCGCTGCGCTGTGACATCATCGACCTCAAAATGCACTCTTACAAGCGTCCTTCCCGTGGATTCGGACACACCCTCTGTCTCGTGTTACCAGTAGAGTTAAAGCTCCACCAACATTTAAAAGTGACCAAAAACATCAGGCAGAAAACACGGTTGTTTAAGTGTTCCCTCTATGTTTTTGAGCAGAACCTACGTACGTGTAAAAAAAGTCACAGAGGGTCTTTTCGTGTGCATTGCTGAACAGCATTACTAATTTGGGTTTATTTTGTGTTAGTTTGTGTTTTCTCAGGACCGCCATGAGGACGTGTTAGACCTGTGTCTGGTCCAGTTTGAGCCAGACTCATCAGATTACATTAAAGTAAGTTTACACATCACTTCCTGGTTTTTAGTGCTCTGTGGTCAGAGCTTTTGTCTCATTTTAGCACTGAGTTGGGCTTAAAGAGCAAGTCAACCCCTACCAGAGTCCAACTCCACTCCCACTTCATGTTTGAAAAATGCAACACATGGCATCCATCCATGTCTGGATCCTCCTGCAGCAGATCCAGCTGCACTGTTAAAGACTTCCTGCTCACCTGGCAGACCGAGAGGGCGGAGCCGCTAACACATACACACACACTCAGGCTCACGACAGCATTGTGACATCATAATGCACCAGTTTACATCATAGCATACCTCTTAGCCAATAGCGATGGCAGATTTAAATTAAAACACAGGGCAGAGTTTTTACCTGACGACGGCACAACACTGCCAGTTTTAGGCAGAATATTTAAATTTTAACTAAGATGCACTGAAGTGCCAAATTATTGACGACACGTGTCTGCAGCACGATTAGACACTCGTTTATTTAGTTTATCAGCAAAAAAAAAGTTTATTTGGGGGTGACTTGCTCTTTAAAGCAGATCAAGTTTTTAAAAAATGCAGTGATCAGGTTTTTATTTCACTGTTTTCTTTGATGCTTTTAGGCATGCAAAAGGATTTATCTCCGAATCCACCTGAAAACTAAACATTTTCTACAAATCGCTGTTAAAGTAGAGAATAGTGTTATGGCTGAGAAGGTTGAGGTGTTTTCATCCGTGATGATGCCTGATGCCTAACGTTCTGGAACACTTTCTATTGTGCTTTAACCGCCAGCTTGGTTAAACGTACATCAGACGTCTTTTATCTCTGTCTGGGCGGACTTGTCCTTTTTTTAGGTACATGCGGCCACATATGAGGACCTGGACAAACACGGTAAATATGACCTGCTGCGCTCCACCAGACACTTTGCAGGCCTGGCTTGGTACCTTGTCAGCGCTCGCAGGGTGGACGGGCTCATTGTGGACATGCTGAAGAAGGAGCTGTGGGTATTTATGGTTTGAAGTCCCCTTTTACTGGAGACGCTCCAGGTTTATGGCTGATGATCACATTTTTGTGTTCCCAGGCTGCAGGACGCCGTGAGTCTGGTGTCTCTGTTCCACATGGTTCATCCTCACAGTGAGTCGGCTCAGGAAGCTGCCAGCCAGCAGGCCGCTGGCACTGAGCTGCTAAAGGTGGGAACAAACCAAACTGTTAGGTTTTTATTACTACCCCCCCCCCCCCCCCCACACACACACACACACACACACACTAGGGGTTGTATGAACTAGTCGACTTGACCGCTCTCTAGTGACGTTTTATGCCTTTCAGCGACTAGTCGCTGTCACGTGATAATGAGCGGCAAGATGCAGTCCACGGAGAAGACAGCAGGTGACGAGCCCCTGTGCGTCGGGAGGCAACGCGCTGTGCCAGAGCGTCGGTACTGACACCCGCCGTAAAACGGACATTTAACCAAATTGTGACGTTTACCCTCTTGCAATTTAACCTTCCCCTCACCCCCATCCTAACCGTAACCAGCTTGCGCATGCAAAGCTCTGATTGTTGACGCGCTCCAGACGTCTGCGTCCTGAGTACGGCCACAGTAACGTTATCAAATCAGGTGTCGCCACCTCAAAAACTAATTTAACACGCGATCGTTCATGTCTGCTCATTTCCTTTTATGTTTTCTGTCTTTTATTCTTTATTTGTGCCTGATGCGTTTCGCTGCTGTGGATCGGGGCGCATCACCTGTTTTGTCCTCGGTGACGCACCTAACTGATGCGGCCGGTGAGCACTCCGCTGTTTTAGCGGTGGGTAGATCTTTTAGAACTGCAGTTCAAAGGTAACTCATAAGGTGAATACCGTATTTACCCGAATATAGGATGACCCCTATTATAAGACGACCCCCCTTTCCAAGAGATTAATTTTAAGAAAAAAGCAAAATTCACTTTTTAAAGAAAATATTTAATATTTGAAAAATTTAGGTAAATACAGTAATACCGTAATTACAGACTACTTTAATATTTACCTATTAATGCAATCACAAAAATCTGTTATGAAGCTTTTGGGGTTCGGTCAGGAAATCAATCAAATGTTATTTATATAGCACTTAATCAAACAAATAAAATCCAACTCAAAGTGCTTTACACAAACGGTACTGAACAAAAAAAAAATCCCCACTGTAGTCAAACTGTAAGAACTTCTCTTAACATGTCAAATCAAGTTATTTCAAAAGTCTGCATGAGGCATTTACTCACAGATGTCCTCTGCTTCGCTCTGCTCAGAGTCACTGTCACTCTCACGCCGCGGTCCCGCCTCCTCCCACAGAATGTCATCCTCACTGCCATCCAATGCATTGGATATGCAACACTTTTTAAAGCCGTTGATGATGCTCTCTGCTGTTACTGCATCCCATGCCTGGAAGATCCATTCACAAAGCCGATGTACAGTCGGTTTTTGAATTTTTCCAGACGGTGTGAGAGCGTGATCACCGGACAGGAGCCACTCTGTGTACCTCCTGCACAGGTTGTCCTTGAAAGGCTTGTTAACCACCACATCCAGCACCTGCAGCTGGCTTGTCATCCCGCCCGGTATGATGACCAGGTCGCCGTTCATCTTCCTCACCTGAGTTTTGACAGCATCAGTCAGGTGTCCACGGAACGCATCCATAATCAGCATGTTTCTCTTTTTTTCTGAGCGCGCCGCGTCGCGTTCCCCACACCACTTTCAGCCAGTCGACCACAAGGTCGCTCTCCATCCAGCCTTTCTCCTGGGCTCTCACAATAATGCCAGCTGGCATTGGCTCTTTCGGCACAGTTTTGCGTTTTAAAATCACATACGGGGCCAACTTAGTCCCGTCTGCCAGGCACGCCAACATGACGGTGATCCGATTCTTCTCATTTCCAGTTGACTTCACGATAACAGACTTCTCACCTTTTTTGTGCACAGTCACAGATGTAGGCATGTCAAAAAACACCGGTGTTTGGTTAGCATTCCCGATCTGATCCAGCGTGTAGGAGTGTTTTTTCCTCAAGCCAATCACATAGTGCTGAAAAGACTGCAGCGTCTCTGCGAAGTCTGATGGCAGGTGCTGGGCAAGGCTGGTTCTGCGTTGCAGCGCGAGGCCGCTCCGGCGCATCATCCTTATGCACCAGCCGGTGCTGGCTTTAAACTCTGTGGTCGGTATGTTTAACTCCTTGGCAGTGTTCAAGGCTTTGAGCTGGATGATGGCTCTGGTAATGGGCAGACCTTCGTTACGTTTCTCAGTAACAAACTCACACACCCGCCTGTCAGTTTCTTGGAAGCGGCCGCGTTGAGGACCACGAAAAGCTTTTCTCTTGCTGTTAGCATTTTTCAGACGGTCTTTCTGGATGCGCCATCTTCGGACGTTACACCCCGTAACGCCGTTTTTTCTGGCTGCCTGGCAGTTGTTAGTTGCTTCTGCTGCGTTGACAACCATCATTTTGAAGTTTGCGTCGTAACTCTGCCGCAGCTGTTGGTTAACTTGCCTAGTTTTAGGTCCGCTTAACCCCAGATTCCTCCCCGCCATTTTTCTTCTTTAGTTCAATGACCTCACCACGACCTCTGCTTAGTCGGCGATTAAAAGACGACCCCCCTTTTTGCATAATTGTTAATAAATAAAAAACCCCGTCCTATATTTGGGTAATTACGGTATATATGAACCCAGGTAGCAGTTTCTCTTTAGGATTGAGAGGAGATGCAGGAAGATAATAAACAGGCAGGACAGAAAACTAGTCAAATAAAACCAAGTTAGTTTTTGTACCTGCTGGTTGCAACAAACAGACACCATTGAAGGTCATCAGAAGTGAGGAACAGAAAATGAAATAATTATTTTAATGTTTAGAGCAGCAGGAACTCCGAGAGGCTGCAGGCGCATCAGTGAGTTTGCGGCCGCTGCGCAGGGGGAGGTGTGTGTGTGTGTGTGGGGGGGGGGGGGGGCTGAAGCAGAAACTACCGTTGTTAAAAGAAATGTGTTTAACTTTGAAAATGTGGGCGCAATTTTAATTGTCAAAAACTCCAGCGAGGAGATAATGATATTAACAGATTGGACATATGTAGCATTTTTCTAGGCACTCAAAGTGCTTTCCATTATTCACGCACTCTCACATTCACACACTGCTAGTGATGGTAAGCTACTATGTAGCCACAGCCGCCCTGGGGGTGTCATTTGGAAGGTTCCGCCTTTCTCACCTCTGATTGGCTGGAAGGGCTCTACTACGATTGGCTATTTCGTGTAAGAGGAAACTGTTTTCCCTCGCTGCAGGTTTTTGTGTTTACAGCCAGGTCTTGAGGAGTTTTTTGAAGAAAATTTGAACTCATCGCTATAATAAACATCCTTTCCTGTTTAGCAACAAACCAGGTTCAGTTTCTTTCATAAAAGCACCTGAAAAACATCAAATGTGAACGTCTAATAATTCTTGTTGTATTTTATCACACTGTAGACTGACTTTTTATCTCTATTCAGCTCTATTGGGGTTATCTTACTACTTCATTATTAAGCTATCCTGCTTTAATAGGTTAAGGCTGTTTACAAGTTAAACCTCATCTCGCATCATCAGACTAAATGTGTATCGTTTAATCAAAAAATTATGATTTAGACCTGTTTTTCACCAGTTTTCAACCAAAACGATCTCCTAACACATAGATGTTCTGCTTCCTGATCACGTGACGTGTGACGTATGCGGATGAAGATCGGCTTTAGAGCTGAGATGTTTGTTTTCACGGTGCGGGGGCTTGTTCTGTTGCCCATACAATAAAAAAATGCTTTAGTTGTCATTGGCAGTGAATGAGTCAACCATAAATGTCATATCAGTGAACAGGGAGCTAGTTCAGTGTTTCTCACCCCGGGTACTCATGTGCCCAATCTCAATACTTGCCCTGCGGTATTCAGCAAAGTGCATTTGGTGAAAGTGCCTGTAAGGCTTCGAGTGCTTAGTACACAAGTGACCGGGATGCTGGGCGCTGTTATACTTTTTAAAAAAGCTTTATTAACAGCTTTCAATCAAACAATTATTTGAAATAAATTTACATTCATTGCTGCTTCGTCTAAAAGTTTCTGAGCATCAACTAGTCATCCTTGGGGCAACAGTAGCTCAGGTGGTAGAGCGGGTTGCCTCATGATCGGAGGGTCATGGGTTCGATTCCTGCTCCCGCCAGGGGTATCCTGCTGTTGTGTCCTTGGGCAAGACACTTCACCCAACTTGCCTGTGTTAGTGGTGGTCAGAGGGGCCGACGGCTCCAAATGGCAGCCTCGCCTCTGTCCGACCTCCCCAGGGCGGCTGTGGCTACAAGTAGCTTACCATCACTAGCAGTGTGTGAATGTGAGAGTGTGTGAAAGCGTCTTTGGGTGTCTAGAAAAGCGCTATATAAGTTCTATGCATTATTATTATTATTATTATTATTATTATTATTATTATTATCCTAAAATGAACTACAGGTACTTTAATTAGAAAATACATATTTTCAGAAAAGGCACTTGAGCCTTTTCTCTCGCAGCAATGGATAGTGGGTAATATCTTCACCAAAGTCTGAATCGCTGTGAATCAAGGGTGCAAAAGCGGCGTGATCAACTTCAGCATTTGAGAATGGGGACACCCTTCACACTCACACCCCTGGTTGGGATTGTGCAGTGAAAGAGCGCAAGGTTGGAAATGCGAGTGTTGGGATTCGGCCAGGGCCCGCTGTCCTGCATGTTTTCCATGTTGCCCTTTCTAACACCAGTGTTTCCCTGCTGCCACACACCTAGGTTTGGGAAACACTGAACTAGACAACACAAATTTAATACACACTGTTGATAATTTAATCCTAAGAGTACGACATGCCAGCCTCATCATGTAGTTGTCTTCAGCAGCAGACCACAGTCTGGGTGGCTCCGTGTTCATCTGAGCTGACAGACAGGATATTAAACATGATCGTCAGAGACATGTGCCCTCCTCTAGTGGTAGAAGATCAATTTTACCTTCAGTCCCAGACACACACTGCCCAATCCTGGTCCTGCAGGACTTCTATCCAGCATGTTTTAGTTGTTTGCCTGCTCCAAAACTCCTGATTCAGTGCACAGAGTCACAGAAACTTGTAAATCACCTGCTGATTAAGTCAGGTGTGTTAGAGCAGTGAAATAACTCAAACATGCTGGACAGTGGTCTTCCAGGACCAGACACCCCTGTTCTAGAACATTGCAGTTGCATTAATTAGTTTTCATGGGGTTTGTAGTAGTTTAATTTAAGGTGTCTTCTGAAAATAAATCATATGAGTGTCTTTATAAATACAAACTTAGATCAGTGAACAGAAGACTCGATAGAATATTCTAATACTAAAATATTCAGTAGCTGCAGCCATACTGTATTAACTTCTAACATCTCGTTTGTCAACCACGACTGTTTTGAATAAATAACGTAGGCTAAATAAAGATCGGCAGAACCAGTAACTGAGAAGACAACGCAGCAGATCCAACTCCTTAAGAGTTGACGTTTATTTACTTGTTGACTTCTGATTTTCATCGTTTGTTGTTGCAGATGCTTGCCGCTGCTCCTTTTCCCAGCATGGAATGCGTAGCTGGGATCAATCATGGAATAAGTAGCTAGCAAACATAAAAAAGCAACATAACCAATGTTAGAAATATAACTTTCTTGAGGCCTGCTTTGAGGTTTCAAACCTCTTGTCTCATCATCTTTCCACTTTCCACGTTTCTTTGAGGAATAAATGAACACGTTAAAGATTTAGTTTTTCTTTGCTGGCAGGGCCATGACATACATATGACGTGTTTATATAAATGGTCTAAAAAGACTTGAATTTACCTTGAAAAAACTTGCAGGAATTCTGATTAAAATTCACGGTTTTATGGTTTTCTAAAGTCACCATTTGGTTTTTTTTCAGCACAGTTTCTTTTCTGTTGTGTCAACAATCCAGAAATATAAAACACCAAGAAGTTTTTTAAAACATCAGTTGTTCTCATGTAACAATGAACAAGCATCACCGTGATGGTGTCAGTGCTGGGTGTGATCTCTGTTCAGTAAACAGGAAGTCACATGTTCAGTAGTTAAAATTGTGTGCCTGCTTTCACAGCTTTGACCATTCCTCCAGAAGGTTCTTTGGTCTCCTCTATTTTTGATTGTACTTGATGCTCGACCTTGGGTGGACTGTAACTGTTGTCATGACAACGACTGTGGTCCATGTCCCTACAGATCTACACCCAGAAGGAATCCCAGAGGTCAGGCTACATCCAGCTGGCTCTGCAGGCGTTTGAGCAGAGATCTGCAGAGAAGTCCGCTGCCTAACGTTCCCACACCAGGACTCTGACTGACTCACCAGAACTGGATTTGGGTTTTAGATAGTGCTGCACAGACCCAGATCTCAAACTGCAGCTGTACCAGCCCAGCTCTGATTCTCCTGAAAAGTCTTTGTGTGTTTCATTTAAATCTCTGATGTCGCTGAATAACGTCTGGTTTTGGGCCCGAAGCCTGGACAATAAGGATAGATTAATTCATTTAATTATTTGTTAAACACAATGACATTTGTTTTGTTTTCTTTGATGAAATAAACAGTAAAACATGAACAAGTCACAAGTAACAGCAGCAGTTTGTCATAAACCTACAAAGTGTTCACTAGTTCTGATAAGTTGTAAAACCCAATAGAGGTCAACATTTATACGAGGTGCAGGCTGCTTTGGTGTTTTAACCTTTTGTGGGTATGAGGTTCGATGCAACAAAAATAAACAATAATGAACAACAATCTGCTTCTAGACCTGCAGAAAGAGAGAAGGAAAAAAAAGGGACACAACAACAATACAACAAGATCAAGCTATCACTGCGTCAACTTGATGAAGAAATATAAAATCAGCATTGTTTAACTGAACAGTCACACGATAATAAATCACAGTGCATTAAGTGCCAACCACAGCCTTAAGACCTGTGTTTAACGTGCCCAAGTCCATACTTTTGAGAGCACCATGTGAGCACCTGTGTGTGTGTACACGCGCTTGTAAATGTAAGGTTTCTCTATAGGAGCGTCCAATAGAGAGTGTGAGGGGCCACAGATACGCCCCCTAAAGATGTGCAGGAGACTGGGGGAGCTCCAAGTCCCAGAGATCCAGGAGCTGCCCCAGAGCGCAGGAACTCCAGGGAGACTGCGACCAGAAAAGCCCCCGCCCCCCTCGAGAGGCACAGAGGGTCGCCCCGGGGGGCCACAACCAGCAGCCGGCAAAGTCCCAGGAGATATCGGCGGCAAGCCCACAGGCCCGCCCACAGCCTCCCACCCCCTAGCCGGCCGAGCCCAGGACCCAATGACCCGGGACCCAGGGGCGACCACCCCCGCCGGGGACCCAGCAGTGCCCAGGGACCCAGACCCCACCAGGCAGCCACCGGGATTGGTCAGGCAGACATTAAAAATCTTAAACCCCCTGACCCAGGAGCCACGACTCAGGCAGACCAAGGCACCGCACTCCACACCAGGTATGGCAGGGGGAGGGGAGACGAAGAACTATATCACCAAAAGAAGTCCCAGGAGAAGAGAGGAGTCAAAGGCCCCACCTGACATATACAGCGTAGCATCATTAGGGATGGGTACCGAATTCGGTACTTTTTAAGGTACCGACCGAGCACCGATTCAAGTCATTTCAAACGGTGCCTCGTTTCGGTACCCGTCCTTCATAACGAGAACTTGCCAAGACAGCTGCGCATGCGCAAGAGCGTTTTGTTGTCGGTTGCTGTGAACCAGTTGTAAACAGAGCAGCATGGTAGAAAGAATGCACGCTACAGCTTGGGTCCACTTCACTAAATGTGATGGGTAACTGGGTGATGATGAAACCAGCGACAACTATCTAAGTGAGACATCCTCATCTTAATCTGCTCCGGTAGGTAAATATAATTAGCTTGATATGTTAGCTTCCGTTTCGCCAATGGTGCGTTCGCTTTCTCCTCGGAACTCCGAATTTCCGACTAGAACAACATGAACGCGCTCTAAAGTTTGGCTTCACTTTACTAAATGTGACGAGTGAAGACGAAACCAGTGACGATCTAAGTGTGAGGCATCATCGTTTTAATCTTCTCCAGCAGCTAAATAAACTGTTTAAGATAACGTTAGCTTGATATGTTAGCTTCCATTGCTACCGTTGTTATCAGCTAATGGTGCGTTCGCTTTCTCCTCGGAAATTCTAACTTCCCAGTAGGAAAAATCAAATGAAAAAAGATGGCAAAAGGAATGAAGATACACAGTAAATTTAGTTCACAGTAAAGATGTTTGCTTCAGTTTAATTATCAGCTTATAAAACTACAAGGACGATGTTAAAATACAAACAGTTGTATGTTATTTATCGTGATATTTATCAAATATTGTTATATATTGAGAAAAATATATATTTAATTATAAAAGAGAATTAAAATAATAAACACTCAAAAGTATCGAAATTTGGTACCGTTAAGCACCGGTATCGATTCGTAGGTACCGGGAATTAGTACCGGATCGATTCAAATGTCAAAGGTACCCATCCCTAAGCATCATCAAGGTTCTTTAATTTGTGGCAAAGGTCACATTTACCCAGCTGGGTCAAGCAGTACTTTTAAATCCACAGATTAACCAAGGAGCCATGATGTCTGGAAGAACATATCACCATATCTGCTGCTGTTCCAACCCAGGAGGAGGACACTTCAAGTTCACGATGATAATAATTAGATAATAATATTAATAAAACTCTTTGATTTTATTACTGTTTATTATAATCATCATAAATGATCACTTGGTTCAATATAAAGGTATTTTAATTACATGAAATGAATTATTATGCTTTGGGTATAATAATGATTAATTATGATTATGGTTGATGACAGTAAAAGATGTGTTCAGCAAAGAAGGTCAGTTCACCTTATCCATCCAACACAGAGTCCAGATAAACGATAACTGCAACACACGTTTTTGACGCATGACCAAGCTTTCTTGCTGAGAGAGTGGGAGTGTCCTGAGAGCTTTGTAAAACTAACCATCACCAGCTTCAAGTCAGTTCTTGAACCATCATCCTGAGGAGACGGGACGGCTGCCCTGAACCTCCACCTGCTGTTCTGTCACGCTGTCAAGAATAGCTAAGAATAAACGTAAACTGTAACCAGCTGACGAAAACTCTTCCCAGAGTTATTGATTTCTGAGTCAAGTTAAGATGCAAAAACTCCTTCAGAGTTACGGACTTTGAGAAGCAAATATTTCCACCAGTCGAGTGACCCAAGGAGACATCTCAGGACCGATTTGGTCGTGCTAGAGTTTTTTTTTACCAACCTCGTGCCTGGAGGAAACCCATCTCCACCTGGACACTTCGGATCCAAAAAGGGGGTCTTCTGATTGGGTGAGGTAGACCTCGACAGAATGTGTTTGATGCTGTTTTCTCTAAGTAAAAACTCAGTTAGCTGCAAAACATCATTTCCATCCAGAACGCTTTCTCTCTCTGAAAGAAATCTTCTGATAATTCCATTCACGCATTCAAACTCGTATTTCCAATTTAGCTTTCATCCAGCCGCAGGTTTGTCCTTTTAAAACAAGTTTAATATCAAAGCTGTTAAAAATTGTCATTAAATTGTCATCCATGAATTGTCGTTATAATTGTCGTTCAAATCTTTAAGTTTAAACTTGTTAGTAATAAAATTTCTTCATTTTAAAACTAGCCTCATTATTGAAACGAAACACAGAAAGGGGTAATTGTTTCTGGTTATTGAAACGCAAAGATTCCTAACTTCTGATTCAAAATAAACTTTTGCTATAAAATGTAATTATCTAAAATAAACATTAATCTTTGGATTAAAATTAGACCAAGTGAATTGGGGTATGAGCTTCTATTGATTATATAAGTATCTTGGATATTTATACATGATATAAGCTCATATGCTGATATGCTCGGTCATTCTCAGAATCTCCAGCTGAATAGCAACAGTGTTGATTCTAGTGTGTAATTAAACTCTACATAATTGACGAGCATCAGCCAGTCTTTCAATAATTGACGAGTAACAGCCAGTCTTATTCAATAATCCGGCGAGCCATTCTTCCTAAATAAAAATGCTATTTCTGTGTTTTATTTTCAATATTTTACTAAAAACGGGAGTTGTTTCACCGTAATTTTCTTCCTCCGGAAACTTCCGGGAGGGAAGCTTTTTGCGGTAACACCGACATCCGGCATAAACATCCAGCTACGCAGCGATAATCCATAGATCTGTGGGACTGTTTAAAAGACATCCTAACTGCTAAAGTAAGTGAATGTGTTGTTTGAGTGTGTTTGACCGTTTATTCGTCACTTTGTTGAGACACTGCGTCTCCGAGAGAACTCCTTTTCGCTCCACGTTAGTGAGAGCTAACCGCTAGCCAGCCAAACCGGCTGGAAATATAGCACCCGTTCTCCGCTACAGCTTAAACGCTCTTATCTTAAGCTTTCGGGAACGTTCAGATTTAGTCTGATCGAGTGGTTTTGTACAAATTCGTCACTCCACTCCTGCGCGCACCTGCTAGTTTAAAACGAACAAGAAAGTTCAATTTAGACAAGATAGCAAGCAATAGCTTTCCGTCTGAACACCGGAAAATAAAGCTTCATCCAGTTTAAGTCGACCTGCAGTGCACGGCGGGCCGCAGCTGAAGAGGAAATCACCTTATTGTGGCGAGCGGGGCCACCTATCAATTTAAAAATACGCCACCTGATAATCAGGAACCAAAACCAGCTGAACCTAAAGGCACGCTAGTTCAGTTTTACAGATCAAGCTTGAGACGGAGTCCCATTCCACATAAACAGAGATTTATTAAAAGAACAATAAAATGAGTTTAAAATAATCTACTAAAAATACCATGCACCTACAGATAAAAACTAATTAAAACCAAATCAACTTAGGCTGAGGCTGACTAATGGGACTGCTTAAGATAGAGCCCGGAACTTAACTCTCTAGACAAACTACAAATCACAAGTAATTTCACCCCAATCACACGTGCATGCATTCGGGGGGTGAAGTGACTCTGGAGCACACGCACACCATCAGATGGGACCACCACCAGGGCTCGACCACCACTGTCAGCTCACAGCCTAAATGGAAAGAAAATAAAAAGCACGATGAAAATACACACACACACACACACAAACACACACACACACACACACACACACACACACACACACTATAACACAGCAACAACTGGGCGGACAGGCCGTCAGGAAATGAGCGAGCATTTAGCTCGCCTGCACACGCGTCTATTAGCCTGAGCCTCAGCTGTCCTTATGAGCTCCCGGGCCGACGACAGCTGCCGGCAGGGCCCGCAGCCCCTCGTCGAAATACCCAAACCCACACCGGGTGTAGGTCCTCCGCTGGTACTCAGTCTAGAGGAGTGAGTGAGAAAAGCCACTCCTGATGGTCTCCGCTGATCCCGTTTAACCAGCCCGAGCAGCGGGGTGGAGAGGCCTTGGAGCCGGATGATGGTCCAGCACCGGGTCAACAACAGGGAAACAGAGATCCCATGGAACAGTGCAGAAAAGCAGCAGAACAACAGAGTCTCCTGTGGAGACACACCCCTTCCTCGATCTGGAAGACACATTAATTAGCATT